TAGGGTTTAGGGTTTAGGGTTTAGGGTGGGGTTACCTTCGGGTTTCACCTAAAGTTTCAGGAGCCTACTATAGGGCTTGTAGACCCTAAGATGCAGGATTGGAGGGTCCGTTGCCCTACTGTGGAGTAGACGCTGGAAACAAAGTATATGCCGTTTAGGTATAAGTAGCTATAATAGGAACCCAGAACCCAAACAGATGAAGTCCTGCAAACGACCCTTAGAATCAAATCTAGGATTCTTCAGGCCCCAAACCCCGAATCCGAAACCCTAAACCCTAAACCCTAAACCGTAAACCCCAAACCCTACACCCTAAAACCCTAAACGCCCCTAGGATCGGGTGTGACCCAAATCTTCGCGAACTCCGGCTTACCTGCTAAGAGGGTTAGAGATTTAGGGTTTGGGGTTTACGGTTCAGGTTTGGGGTTTCGGGTCTAAGGTTTCGAGCTTCAAGGTGAGAAATCCAACGAAACTCTGTACCAGGCCTTACCGACTTCCCGACGGCGTACATGTCGACCTGGAGTTTCGGGTTCCCTAAACCCTAAGCCCTAATCCCTAAACCCTAAACCCTAAACCCTAAACCCTAACCTCCAAACCCCTGGAGCCTCAAAGCCCGAAAGCTCTCAAAATCCTAAAGCCATAGAGAGCCCTGTCGCGCTTGGGCCCCTTGCAAGCCGCAAGACCTTAAGCCCTACAGCCTTAGGGTCTTAGGGTCTTACGGTTTAGGTATTGAACCCCTTCAGACTTCTTCAGCCCATAAAGAACCCTAAGCAAACCCAAGCTGAATCTAAGCCGAAGCCCATAAACCACTAGCCGCAAACCTTTGAACAACTGACCTGAAATCCCTAAATAACCCTATAGGCCCTGAATGCGGAGTCGCAGAACCACGTAGGCAAAGGCAGTAACCTGAGGAGTAAAGGGGCCTGACTTAACACAATAGGGAGCGAAGGGTGTGGGATTGAGGGTTGAGGGTTCAGGGGTTCGCTGGGGTCTCTAAGATGCATGGCGCCTCTTTTTAGCCAAGGCTGCTAGCAGAAGAGTTCCTCGAGTCGAGGCTGTCACTGGTGCTGGAAGACCAGCCGACGGCATTGTTGACCCATCGCGAAACACCCTGCAAGCCTCCTCTCCAATATCCGCGGCGGCGTCTCTCCTGCTGCTGCCTCTCGCGCTGAATGTCAATAATGTCGCAGTACCTTCGATGAGGGGCTAGCATGTACATCACCAACGAAATTGCAAGCCTAAAAACTCAAACGTGCAAGCAGCCCAACATTTCCGGAATGTAGAGGAGGTGTTTCCCTGTGGGTCAGCCGGTCAGCCAACATTCCCCAGAAAAAAAATCTTCCGCACGCCCCAAAAACCCTAACTCAAAGAAGGCAAGGTGTGCCCCCGATGGGTTTAGGGTTTAGGGTTTAGGGTTTAGGGTTTAGGGTTTAGGGTTCGCGGAAAAGGCGCAGGATCGTATCTGAGGCTGTATCGAAAACCATCCTTGGTCCAGAATACTTGCAGTAGGGATTCAGTGGGTTCAGGCTACCAGAGACCCCCCCCATAGGGAACAATGCTGTTGCGAGTGGTTTCGGGAAAGCTTTATTGAAACCACGTCATATTGCTGAGCCTTAAAGCCAAGTCACCAAGCCACCAAAGAGTTCTCAACCCGACTTGAAGCGGCACCGCCAGGTTAAAACCTATTTGAAACACCTAACCCCTAAGCTCTAAATCCGGCTCAAAGACCACCCCGCCGCCAACAACGAAAACAAAAAGAGGCCACACATTCCACGTGAAAGCTGCACATACACCAGAGACATACCCCCCCCCCCCCCCCCCCCCACCCCCCCCCCCCCCCTCCAAACCCTATGGTTTACCCCCACATCCAATGAACTCAGAGACTCATGTATGGAAAGGCAGCCACGAGCGAGACGACTCCCCCGGCATTGGACCAGATGTGCCTCAAGCAAATCTCATTAGGTCTCTTGTGAACGATGACTTGGTAAGTCTCTTTTGTATTCCCTAGACAACCCTATCATAGTCCACGTAGCCCAACTTAGTAACCCTAATTACTACGTCAAAAAGAAGTCCAAGTAGGGTCTAGGGCTTGGCTACATTCAGAATTCAGACGTTCTCCCTTACACTAACAGTCCTTAATAGGGTTTATAGTACCCCCGACTATGCTCCCTATCAAGGACTGTTAGTATGAGGGGGAAACGCCTAAACCCTAAACCCTAAACCCTAAATCCTAAACCCTTAACCCGTAACCCTTAACCCTAAACACACCCTAAACCCTAAACCCAAACCCTACACCTTAACCCTAAACCCTAAACCCTAAACCCTAAACCCTAAACCCTAAACCCTAAACCCTAAACCCTAACCCTAACTCTAAACCCTAAACCCTAAACCCTAAACCCTAAACCCTAAACCCTAACCCTCAACCCTCAACCCTACACCCTACACCCTAAACCCTAAACCCAAAACCGTAAACCGTAAACCCTAAACCCTAAACCCTGAACCC